TAATTTCTAAAAGTTACAGAGTTTGTTATTCTATTTTTATTCCTATCATCAAAGTCCAGCTATTTTTACCACCTTAAATTGAATTAAATTCCAAATAAAAATTTAAATTATAATTTATACATTTGATAAGAATTATTACAATTGAACCAGAATAATGGAATAAACAATTTATGATTCCACAATATGAGCATGACCTCACTCTTAAATGTGATCTATAAACAATCAGTCATATAAGTGAAGCAGATACTGAAACTCTAATGTGACATTTATATTTGTTTTTCACTTTGTACATCAGGCTGAAAATAAAAGCTGTACCTGACAAATAACTTGAGATCGTTTTGAGGGTGGATTGGTGTCAGACTTGTTTTCTTCGTATAAATAAATCCATAAGTCAAACTGAAACTGTGATGCTTTGGAGTGATAATTTTACCAGAGACACCGGGGGAAATTTGCCTCGTGAAATGTTCTTTCTCTGACAACCCACTCAGTTTCGACTGGAAAAAAAAAAGTATTTAACCTTTTCAGCAACAACAAATGCAAAAGAGAAAAAAAAAAAAGTGGAGTCAAATGAGGGAGGCTGAAAATTGTTGCGATGTCTCAAAGTATAAATCCTGCTGCTGCATGCAAAGAGGAATCATTTGAAAGAATCACACAGTCATTCAAACGCACATTTTGACTCACCTTTTTTTGGTTGTTTTTTAAGTGTTTACACATATTTAAATTTTCTGTTTCACATGCTGCAAGTCTATTTGATGTTTTAGCTCGTATTTATGACCGATATGAGCAGTTTCAAATCTCACAACAACGAGATTTACAATATTTCCCAGCTTACCGTGTGTGTACAATAATGACAGTATTTGTTATATTGATGATCCAGCTGTGATGACTGAACATATATTGACTGTAAATATTTTTGTTATGGGACTTTTAATAATTTGGCTGAAGCTGTGTTGACCTTATTTTCTTCTAGTGAGAATTCAAACAGAGCTTTATATTTTAATTCGTATGGTGACATTTAATGGGGAGGGTTACATTTCCAGAAATCTCTATAAATATAGTCTACATTTTTGATTTCCTTCGGCATTGGGATTTTTTTATAAAAAGTATTTTGTGAAACGTAGAAACCCTTTGTCATATTATACTCCCTGATGAATCTCCTGAGTAATCTTTCTGAGGGTTTGTGCATGCAGTGGCTTGTTTCTGATGTCAAATGTCAGATATTGTCAGCCTCAATGATGAGTGGATGAGTAATTAAAAACATGTTGATGGTTTCAGTCAGCTAGTGTTGAATGCTCACAGTCCGTGGGTGGCATCACTTTGTTGCCATCAGCAACGCTTTGACTAATCTCCTCACTATCTTGTTCCGTGTGTGTGTATTTATAGAGCTACTTTTATATACAGTATAGCGGGATTGCAGTAACAGTACATGCATATTGATTGTGTGTGTATCAGTGCGAAATCAAGCACGTGTACAGTATTTAGAGTATGTGTGTACATGCTGTACATTTCCCCAAAGACCTCTGTGTGTCCTTTGTGTATTTGTGTGTATGCGTTTATGGGGCTGCGTTGAGGTTGTGTTTGTGTGCATTTATTTGTACAGTATTTGTGCATGTGTGTAATTTTTTTTTTTTTAAATACTTGTGGGTAAGAATCTATTGCAAATAATATCACAACAGTTGTGTAAGAAATTATGTGTTCTTGTGTTTGTGTGTATGTAAGAGGACTGTGTACCGGCTTCTTTAATTTATTTTTGTGTGTGTGCTTTTTAACTTACATACAGTATACTTGTGTTAACTGTATCAGTATGTAAGTGCATAAATTACACATAATGGGATTTTTTTTATACTGCTTTATCTGTGCAAACTGTGGTGTGTTTACTTCCCCAACTGTATATTCGTCAGTGTGTATGTTTGTGTTTTTACACATATTTCTGCATGTTTGTCTCTCTGATGTTATTGTGTTCTACTATTCCTAACACTGTAACTAAATGTTTGTGTGTGTTACCAATAATTATGACATGCGAAATTATAATTTTTTTTTAACTCTTCATGTAAATGTATACGCGGCAGTGTCCTTTTGCAGAGGTATAGCGTGTACCATTGTGTTTAATTATAGCATTTTATTACATCTGTGGGAGTACAGAAGTACTAAGTGTGTGTGTGTGTGTGTGTGTGTGTGTGTGTGTGTGTGTGTGTGTGTGTGTGTGTGTGTGTGTGTGTGTGTGTGTGTGTGTGTGTGTGTGTGTGTGTGTGTGTGTGTGTGTGTGTGTGTGTGTGTGTGTGTGGGGAATATTTTTTTGTATTTGATAATGATTAGGTACATTTGTTAGTCACTCAATATATCTGTGAGTCTGTGGTGTAAGTGTGTGTGTTCATGCAATGTGGTCTTGTCTTGTCTTTATGCATGCTGTGCACTTTGTCTTTGTTGCATGACTGTAATTATATCTGACTAATTATTATATTGACAATATTACTATTTTTATTACTACAAGTATGTAAGATGATGTCTGTATGTGCATTTGTTAAAGGAATATTACATTTAGTGTGTTTGTGTGCATCTGTGTGTGTGTATATACCGTATATAGTATTTGTGTGCTTATTTATACAATAAGTGTAGAACCACATGTTTACATGCAGGTTCTACATGCTTTCATAATGTGTGTGTCTGTGTTTATATCTGGCAGTGTTTTTGGTTCTATAAGTGTGAGTTCTTATCTGAACATAAGGGGAGTTAAACTATAGTGAAAAAGCTCCTTACAGGAGTGCAGAATCACACACATTAAAATGACTGTATTTCATAATTTAGTTGTTGTGACCCATGGTTAGTGTCTTTTCTGTCTTTTTTTTTTTACCTTCCTGTTTGGTGGATTTCCAAATATGAGAGAATGTAGGACACAAAAAGTTCACGTTACCCTCTAATCTGTCACAAATGTATTTTTTCTGAACAGAACATTGTGCGAAAAGGATGCCAAAACAGAAGAAGATAAATACAGTAAATGACAATAAGTAACAATCAGTGATATGAAGATGTTTATTTATTCCTACAAAAGTCAGGGTCACTTATCATTTGTTTCCTATTATCAATAGATTTGCTCCCTAATAATATTTTGGATCACCACCATCATGAAAACACATCATGAGGACATAATGTTTGGCAAAAGATTGATGCACCTTAGGAAGATTTAAAAAAAAAAAATAGCTGGAGCTGAATTGAAGCTGGTCTGGATTCTTATTTTTTTACCCACAATTTAACTGATCATTTAAATAATATTTTATATGTGCACAGTGTGTAGCGTAGCAACCATATGTTCTGTGTTAATATGCAGTGTGTGTGTGTGTGTGTGTTTATGTGTGTGTGTATCGCAGTATGTGTTCATTTGCATGCACATGGACAAGCGAAACAGCTTGTTCCCTGTTCTGGATGCTCTGCGTCTGTCTCAACTGACATTTACACATTCAAATCAGAGAGTGTTTATGGCTGTTTGAGGCACATGACAAGATGTCATGCCTGTTCATGATGACCTGCTTACTGTGTCATAGTCTGCCACTATTTGATACTCTAAGACTCTTTCAGTGCTCATAACTTTTGAGGAGCTAGACGCAGCATCGTATTACGCATCATCACCGTGTCGTTGCCTTTTTGCTCCCATAATTTTTCATTTTGGTTTCCTTGTAAGTCAGTTTATATTAATGATTGTTTGTGTTCTGTTTAAGGTCCTGGAGACCCCTGGTCGTCTTTAACACTTTAATATAACACACTGACTCGGTGAACTGAGATATTATGAAAACATGTTTTAGACGTTCTCTTGACGAGGACACATTCTTCCTGTGATTTAACTTTTATAACATGTGTCTCCTACAAATCATAAAAACATGACTTGACAAAACACTGAACCGTCTTTGTGAATAACTTTAATCAAAATACACAAAGACAACAATTATAAAAAATATATATAAAACCACAAAAATGTCCACATTAACTAGTATGATAATTCTTCACGGCCATTCATATTTTATCACATAAGCAGGTTAGGGGTTAGGGTCACAACTGCAAAACCTTTGTACATTGTGTTTAAGGGTTTGTAGAAAAGAAGAACTTTTGAGATTAAACCAAACACTTCTTATTTCTTTCTCATATTATTTTACACACAATCACCTTTTAGGTTATAAAAGGACATTTAATACTTTTTTTCCCCCTACGTTTTAAACAATATTTATGACATCCCTTTGCAAACACTTCCTGTACAGTATGCCCTACACCATAGGCCTGACAGCTTTTGAGCAGTCTTTTTTTCTTTCTCTTCATATTTTTTTTTCTCTCTTAGCTCTAATAACATACACTTGCACATTAACACTGCTGCAGGAAAATGAGATTGGCTGTGCAGCCACTGCCTAACATTGGATAATCCCTTCATCATGTCCATATGGGGCCACAAGTGCAGACAGACAATAACTCAGTCATATCATTGTGTGCAGCCTATCCTCTCTCCCCGGAGAGCTAGACCTTGATACCATCCCTCCTTCCCTAAAGCTGCTGTCTAAGATTCCAAGATTGGCAGGGGGAGTTGTGATCGGGGATGGGAAAGAGGTGGGAGGAAGGGAGTGAGATGGAGAGGTTGGGGGCAACAGAGTGGCTCAGGGGTAGAGAGTCGGTCGTCTCTTAACTGGAAGGTTGGGTGCTTGATACCCATCTCCTGCACGCACATGTTGAAGTGTCCTTAAACCCCAAAAAATGCTCTTAATGTTGCGTGTGAATATGTATGAATGGGCTTATAGTAAGAACTGCTGGACACTTTAAATAGCAGCCATCAGTGCGTGAATGTCAATCTCAAGTCCACTGACTATTTCCCATAGTTGGAGCATGAAAGAGAGCAAGAGACATATTTGTTTTATGTTTTTAACTTGATTGGGAAGAGATCATCAATTCAAACCCAGTCAGAAAACCTCATTTATGTGTTCATTTGCATATTCTGATTTTACATTTTCATTCTTTTTACTCAGGAAGGTCCCACCGAGAAACAACATTCAGGGAGTCCTGGTTGAAATGTCAGCACAGACAGCTTCAGGTAATTAAAGAAAATCTTTTTTATACACATGCACCTCATACAAGCTATACATGGAAAATAATGAGCGGAGAGAGGCATATATGTATATAGCACAAGCAAAACATAACTCATTCTCCCTCAAGTCAAAAAAAAGTTAAAGATGTAGACGTCTTCTTCAGTGCAGTTTTAAGAAATTCTTCAAATGTATTTATGTAAGAAAAAAACTGAAGTAAGTTGAGATATGGGAACAGAGAAATACTGTTACCTAGAGATCATTGAATTCTCTGTGTTTTGTTTGTTGTACTATGTGGGAGAGCAACATCCATTGATGATTAAAAAACACGAGCATTGTCAGAAAAAGACATGATCAGTTCAAAGATAAGAATCAGTATGTTATGTCATTTGCAACAATTGGTAAAGTTTGAGGTTCCCAAACTTCCCATTCACATCTTACATAATCAACATGCTGCATCATTGCTTGTTTACAATGTAAGAATCACTCCGTGTTGAAGACTTTGTAGGTGACCTGTATTAAACCTCAGCTGGATGTAAACACGCTACAGTACACGCTATGTACTGAGAATTGAAACATTGGCTGGATTTTCCCTGAGCTCTGCTGCTTTAGCGATTCACTGATATTGAACCTCTCACTTCCTTTTTGAAGTTGCTTTGTTTACCAGTCTACACGCTATTTTTACTGGATGCCTCTGTGCTCGCTCACATTTCCTCCGTTTACAGAGAAAAGGCATGTGTTTAGTTTGGATTAACATATACGCTTGTCATTGTTTAGAGTGGAATACAATAGGTAGAGTTTCCCAGGTATGATGATCTATCTACTTTCGGTAATGTGCCTCTGATTTGCATGAGAGATTGTTTCACCTGAATGTTCCTGAATGAACAAACCAAGCTGAGAGCTTCCAGGAGGAGAACTGAGCTGAAAACAGAACAGACTTAACTCATTATTGATGCCTCTATATGTCATACAAAGACAAACAAAAGCATCGGCAACAATGTTGATAACTTAGATATAACTAAGTTAATAACTAAGATATTTTTAATCCTTGTTGTTTAGTGCTGAGGGTGTCGAACAAAAAAATAAGTTACTGCGTGCTGCAGAAAGAGTTTTTGTGTACATTTCTCATGTCAAAGATTCACAGTAAGAGATGAGATGGACTGTTCAAAGAGAGCAGGATTACATTAAAAAATAATAATAAAGCACTACTTACACATGAACAGGACAAGATCAGCGAGGAGATAAGAGGTACTGCTTTGTCAATAAAACAGACGCGGCTGAAAGTTCCTCAGGGGAGTTTTAGGTTTTGTAACACCAAAGAGAAACGTCCATGTGACCTTGTGAGTCATGTCATGTGAAGAATTGTTGTCCAACAAATGACGCAAAGAGATATATTAATGTATCTCAAATGTAAAAGCTCTAATCGACTTTGACACTTTTAAAAGTCATATTGTTAAAAAGTTGAAAAGACACAACAACAGGAATGCCTTCTTTTCATATTTCCATAAATATCTCTGCTATGATCCTTTTTCTTAAGCTTTGGGCCTTGGTTTTTGTTTGATTATAGTGTCAAAGTGGTTGATCCAGCTGTTTTGACATTCATGAGGCTGCAGCTCCTGGGTTCATTTAGTGCTGAGTCATTCTCAACAATTTAAAACAAGTATTTGAATGTTCCAAAACACTTATTAGTAGATGGAAACTACTGTCACAGAATATGTGTGATGAAGTTGTGGCTTGCAGGTTAAGATCACATAAAGACATCAGACATTTTGGAAAGAACATCATACAATAAGGTTGATTTAATTTTGTTTTATGGTATTAATGGTTAAAGCTACGTATATTGCTCCAATAACACTTTAAGAAGAGAAATGCAAGGGAACATTGCTTGATGTTAAAAAAAAAAACTTTTAATAATGAGCATTTCAACCATGTCATTGTGGACATTTACAAAATAAAACTAGCATGAAAGAATAAATTTAGCTGAAGCTGGATGATGATGAATATTTTTTCTATATCAAGGTTTTAATGTCATTCTAAATCTGCTATCTGTTCTGCAGTCAGTCTTAAATTTCATGTGCAAATTGAACAGTCGGTTCGTTTCCACAGTGTATCATCGGAACCTGCAGCACACACACATAAAAAAAAAACACTGACAGGTCACACCTTCACATATAAGCTACGATTGAACTCTTAAGTAAAGGTCACCTGGGGTCATTTTAGGATGAGAACTCAGGTTTAGGCTTAAGGTTGAAACGAGGTAATGTTTGACAAAAGTTTAGGTTTAGGATTTGGAAATGTGATGTTCTCTCTGTGTTGATGCAGACAGTGAACCCTCAGGCAGGATTGTTGTTAAATCACTTGACTGTCTGTGCATGACAACGTGGGAAGAAGAAACAAAGACGGACATGAGGGGGAAGTATGAGACAGCCACAGAAAGTTAAATTTACAGGTACAAAACATGTGAACATACAAAGAATGTAACAGAAAGGCAGACCACAGGAAATATTCATAGTTAATGAACTGTCTGTAGCCAGAGACACACGAGAACAACAGACGTTGAGTTCACAGAATTGAAGGTGCATGCTTAAAATTAAATGGGGAAAAAGTAAAAGGATAAATATTAACCCTTGAATAAACTGAACTATACAACCTATACAATTACAGATCTTCCTCCAGCCTCACACAGAATAGCTTCTCGCTATGCTGAAGCTAATGGGGATCCAAATAAAACAAACAAGCAAACACACACACACACACACACACACACTAACTGACAGACTGAGATACAAAGCTGCCCACACCTCGTGCATCTGTCTTCTGTGTGGGATGGTTTTTAGACATTGCCTGATGTGTCAAACTAACACATGCTAACCCTTACCGTGAGAAACAGTATTTAAAAAAAAACAAAAAAAAAACACTGCTGTCTTGACCAAAAGTAAAGTACAGTCTTCCTTCATGCAGGGAATATTGTGAATGTTATGCTGTTTAGGATATTGGAGTATTTTGGAGCAGTTCTGAACATGTCAGTTCTGAATACTTACATATATTCCAAATAACTGGTTCCATTTAAAAGGAAATATTTAAGTACACATACAGTATTATTCAGGATAGTTTTCTTACATCATTTGTGAAAATATATACAACACTGGTGACTGTTTCAGATACAGACAGTTTCTAAATTCAATCTTGCTATTTGTTGGAAGTAACACATTTTAATGATTGTGTAGCTCTGGTTAAATATTTTTTTTTTATGTGAAGTTAATGTGAATTTAGAGGTTTATTTCTGAAGTGTGTTGACTTAAAACAGTAAGGGTGTGCTTTTGTCTAAACAAGATCAATAATAACTATACTGTGCTGAGCTTTACTTTCAGATTTAACTTGCTATGTAAAAACATGTTATATATATTTGTATATTATATTTATTGCATATTGCTTAGTGCATGCAGAGTTTCATCTTTCAATGAATTAATCAGAGGCACATTACTGTAACCTACAATGCAGGCAGTTGATCTCATATTCGGTTTTTCAGATTTTTTTTCATCAAGATAAGAAATTCTGTCAGATGGCTGGGCTGATAAATGGATTGATAAACTGAAAATGTGTGTCGTAGTATTTAAACTAATGACTAAATTATACACTTATTGGAACTTTTAACCAAGGGTGAATCAGTTCAATAAAAAGTTACTGCATATTAAATAAATAATTGTTGGTTTATGAAGAGTGTTCAAAGACTTACTTTTTAGACTGGATGACCAGTCATTATTTTTCATTATTTGAAGGAAACACAGTGTGAGTTCTCCTGTCACTGTTCTTTTGAGCAACTTGATGTTTTACTTGCAGTTGCATGTGAATATTCTTTTTTCAGAAAGACAAAGAAACATCTTTTAAACCAGACTGACCACAATGCTGCTGGAACAACACCAAGGCCAAGACCACCCAGTAGAATCACAGCATGGGTCCATATCCCAGACAGCGTTTTATCGACTAACATCTGAGTCCATTATTTCTGAGACATGATCAGTTTTCAACACACCAAAAAAACAACAACTTAATACTAACTGCACTGTGTGTAGTATGAACGATAGCATATGTTGAAAACTAAAGAAGAGACCAAAGACCAAATTTTATATAAAATCCAATGGAAAATATTGAGCTCTCTTTTTATAATGATAAGTAACGCAAAGCAAATGTGTTAGCTTACAATACACACAATAATCTCATGGAACAGAAGGTGCAGCCTCTACGCTAAGGGAGCAATTTACCAGTTATGGTCCCAATGAAACTCAAATTGGAAGCTCTGGTCTGCTTTGTCCAGTTGACTACATGGAGAGGGGCAGCTCTCCTGCCAGGAAAATTGTCCAATCTTTATGTAATTCTTCACTTTGTTTGTCTTGATATATTTCCATGCTACAAAGTCCGGCTGAAATATTTTTAAGCTGGCAGACAAGTAGTTTTTCTTTTTCTTTTTGCAGCTTTCTTTTTAAAAAGGCAAAGAAACTATCCAAAATGCAAGCTTTTCATATACACCTCCATACCGAAACCCTGTGATGCATCCTTCCTCTTCTTTTCACATCCTTACCTCATCCTTTAGCTCTCCTCCTTCATCTGCCGTTTGTATTTTAGCCGTTTAGTTGACTCTCTGATGCTAGCTGAGTGACAGTGAGTGCAGTGAGTGCAGCGGCTCAAATTAATTACCTAAAGTGGAGTCCATACATTCATCACACAGTCCTAATGATCCATACTATAAGTGTCATGGCGTCAGACGGGGCAAAAAAGGATGTGCCAACACTAGAAGCTTGTATATTACAGCGCTGTGTGTGTTTATGTAAATGTGTGTTTGGTGCTTTAGAGAGACTGCCCGGCAACTGAGGCGATGCCAAGAGCCAAGAACTATTAAGGCGTGAATAACAGCTGCTGACGAAGCATCCAGAAAAGCTACAGATAGGGCTAAAGTAACGATGCTAAGACAAGCAAAACTGAGATTTTTCTCAAGGTAACATCCAATGAT